ATTCGCTGTTTGTGAGAGAGGACCGCTGATGACGTCAATGCACGCAACGGCGACGTTTGTCTCGTAGCCGCCGGCGCAGTGCGGTTCATTCACCGGCCGCCGGTCACCGCTGCCGCCGCGGTGTGGCGGTGTGCGGCGGCTTATTATAAAAATGTTAGCCCACTTGATCACAAGCCCTGGATATTCAGAATTAAGCACGCATCTTTTAATTAAACTTTTGAATAATTCAACCCAATTTCACATGCCCCGTAGAGGTCAAATTAATTAAAGTCAACTGGAAGTCAACCAAACCCGTTATAAAGTTCTTTTGTAAACAAAATAAAAAAAACAGCTGATATCAACATTGCACCAACCATCCTGGATGGTGCTTACCTTTCTGGGAACCAGCGTAGTACAATGTTCTAACTAATGAACTAGACGTTGCAGCTACCATACAAATCAAATTTCAGAAATTTCTTTTCACTTCAAAGCTAAGGACAACACTTCTAAGCTGCCTGTCATTGATAAACACAGTCAGAGTGGATTTAATAGAGATAAATAATCTGTTCTAACATTTGAAATATTACTCGAAACTCTCAACAAGACAGTCTCTAGGGATACTGAATGAAAAATGAAGTCGTACAAAACCAACACTGTAAGCGACTTCATTTCTGCGAGCTCAATATTTTGCAAATTCTGTGAAGCGTGGATTTCGAGAATGTGTTTCAGGTACAAAATTTCGCGATTTTATATGTAATGCATTCTTTACCATGGGGTGATATATTTGCGTGATCAATGTTTCGCAATATATTTCAAGTCATGAAATTTGCAAAAATGAGGTCCCTGCGAAAATTAGGTCGCTTAGAGTACTAGGGCTTTTAATATTTGTTAAACATCATCATTAGAGTCTCAAAGCATGTGCATCTCAGCTTGGTTACTTGTGAGAGGCCAAATTCAAAGCATACTTTTAATCTGTCCACACAAGCTCAGAATTTTCCCCTATGGACTTTCTTACAGCAGCCCAGTGGGGAGGATAATCAGCGGGTACAAATATATCACGAGACCCATTAATGGGTGAGCGGCGTTTTCGAGCTTCCAGTTCGTTGGAGCATTTCGCTTCACAGATGGAAGACGATGGTGATCAGATGCAAGTGCAAGCGTGGTACGAGTCGGAAATTTCTCTGATCCTACGTTTACCCAAACGCAAGTGCAGCAAGAGCGCTGTATTATAGAATGGTGTAGCAGAAGGAACTGGAAGTTTAAAAAGGTCAAATGCCACTTGCCCATTCCTTGATCCATCTAAATGAAAAAGACATTTGAATTTTTCCAAGAGGGCTTCCTAACATTGATTATAGCACTAATCACATATTGTTTTTTAAACTTTTAGAAGGATGCCCTGATATAGTTAAGAGGCAAGGTTACACGTTTCGGCTTACAAGCAAACTAGAATGCCTGCGATGTGCATATATTTATGTTTCTTTGGTGCTTCCCACTCCCACCAAGAAAAAACAAAAACAAAAACAGACACCTACTTCCCACAAAAGCGTACCTCCAGCAATCACAAGACAAGCACAGCAAACTCCACATTCCGGCATTGTAAAAAGAAAAGGCAGAAATGAAAAAAAAAAAAAGATGGCAGCCAAGACCCTTTTGAAGTTTTGAAAAATGAAGAGAGAGCAAGAGAGAGAGAGCGAGGGAGGAGGAAAAGGAGCAAGGTCAAAAAAGAACCTCCAAGGTCACTTCATCAGCTGCACAGCACCCAAAGGACAAACCACCGAAACTGGCGAGGCAGTACGGCCAAGGGGAGAAAAACGGCCGAAACGAGGTAAAACCCAAGTCTGCAGGCAGCTACAGCTATAACATGGCCCATGCACGCACTCCAAGAAAAAACATGAGCCACTCGGGTTAAGTCTGCAAATCGACAAAATGCACTCGAAGGAAATCAAAGCAGCGGCGTTAAATTCTTAAAATAATGTGAAATGACTATAGACTACTTCATGCACGTATACCCTTTTTTTTTTTTAGCACTTGAAAGATAATGCAAGGCACAAGAAAGTAGAAGTCTAGAGGCATTCATCGAGGGCATAGCTTTGCAAGGTTTGATTTGAAGATGTTACTTGTGTTGGACCTAAAGGGTACTAACACAAGGTGCAGTCAAAGACTGACACAGGTATTAAGGGGGGACATGGCCTTGGAAATCCAAATTTTCAGAAAAAATGTTTTTTTCAAATATTATATGTTTATGTTCATTAACTTCCAAAGAATGGTTTCAGAAAATTTAATTTATAAACATGCAGGATTCATCTCGCAATAAATTATTTTCGACATGTCGGCAGCCCTTCGTGTCAGCTGGGAGCAAGTTTCGCGTTTTTCATTTAGTACTGCTTCATACTCGTTTAACATAGCCAGAACATCTCACCCTCATTGGAAACACCATTTACTCTAGATTTAGCCCGTAGAAGCTTTCAGAGTTTAAACGTATCAATGGCCAGGAGAACCCTTTACATCCAAACAGAAGAAATCCTGAAAATTTGGTATGAGCAACCTTATTGGTTGAGGCTCGAAACAGGGTTTCGAGTCTCAACTTCTCAACAAGTCTCATCTTCAGTAACGCCCTTTCACAGTATCTTCCACTTCAGGTCATATTCCTGCCTTGCTGCTCTTCCTTAGTATGATTTGCCTCTTAGTTCTTGCCAGTTTATCTGTCAAGGAATGCCTGCTACAAAAGTTAGCTTGCCTACAAATGACACAAACCAGGTGAATTTCGCCTACCTCGGACTCACAGAAAAGAAAGAAACCTAAAGTTGAAACCTCAAATGCATTTTTCTCAGTTCCACTTTTCGGCAGGAAATGTGGTATGAGGAAATGCATCATTTGACATTTTGAAAGTGTAAAGATTTCATTCAGTGGCGTCCTGGACTGAAATTTCTTGAGGAACAAGTTAAGGTACTGATACTCTGAATAAAACTAGCTTCTTCATGACAAAAACTGAATATTTTAAAACACAGAAATTTGTTAAAATCTTTTGCACTTTTTGGGTGTTATTGTTTTTCTCTACAATTGCATTTTCTACAATTAATTTTTACCTTAACTTGCACTATGGGTACTCTACTTCACATTAAAATAAATGTTTCGTGGATTGCAATTATTATATTTTTTAAATACATTTCCTACTGAAGTCACTTCTTTCTGGAGCTTTTTAAGCATTGTGTGTAGTAGAATTGGCCTACAAGACTGATAGCTTAGAGGTCATCAATCCTAATTGGGTTCAATGCACTCTCAAAGTTTCAATCAATCCTAATTGGGTTCAATGCACTCTCAAAGTTTCAATCAATCCTAATTGGGTTCAATGCACCCTTAAAGGAATGGTTCAAAAGTTGACCCTCCCAGGCTATGTCCCCCCTTAACTTATAAAACTCCAATAGCACATTTGAGGTTCTGAACAATTTGGGGTATCAATCTCGAAAGGGACATTCTCTGATAACACTGTTTTCGGCGACAAAGAAAAAAATCCCATCTGTCACAGTAGTAGATTTTTTCTTGTTGAAACACTTAGCACATGAAATTAAATTATCCATGCTACATTTCATGGATCCCCAAGATGAATGGAACAAGAACGACCTTCTTGATGTAATATTTTTAAACATCTTGAAATGAGAGACCATGTAATGCAGTGAGATGCCAGATTGACTGACTCAATTATCAAGCTGAGCATTGCTCAGGTAATCTCAACTTACACTGCTCAAACCAACAAAGAAAGCCTTAAAACTGGAATGTTTATCCGCATTTACAAGCTCTTTTAGTAGTGCTTTGCCTCGTAACTTTCTTATTTGAAGTCGCAGGATCTACGGAAGAAAGCTAAAACGTTGCAACTACATAAGCAGGAGCAGTATTAAAGCAGCTGCCTCAATACCCACAGAGCAGTGTACTAGCTTTAATGACAAGTTCACCACAGTGTCGATTCGTCTCAATTTCTGCTTAAAAGACGATGGACCTTGGGGGTATGTGTACGGCAGAACCGAGCACAGTGCCTATTACTTGGGCAACCAGCGCCACCTCGCAACAAACCGGCAGAAATTGTTAAGAGTGCAACATCTTTACCATTTCATAGTTTATTATTGTTACAAATATTATTACTCAATAAATCCTACAAATACCGTCTAGAAACAAAACTTTAAAAAAATTAGTCGTGCCCCATCTAGTCTTGTTGATGCACACCTAAAAAGTGCAAGCTGAATTATATCTCCTCCCACGTAATAAAGGAATGATTGTCACGAAAAACAACCGGCACCTTCCCGGAGACTGCTAGAACGTCGGCAAACTGATTCCAAATATGCTAGCTTTTTACGGCACGCCAGAGCCGTTACTGCATGGCGAGAGCGACATATGCCCCTATGAATTATTTGTAGTATTTTTTTTTTTGTCTAATATTGACGCAGCACCTGCGAGTGTCGAGCTCTCGAACACCTCGGCCATGGCGGTCGCCGACGCATGGCGTCCAAAAGCGTGTAAAGACAAGGACCCACAGCAATGGTGCCTGGAACGCATTCCCGAACGGTGCGTTCAATGTGTCCTCAAATGTCGTCGCATGAGTGTCACACGGGACGTCACGTGTTTAGTGTCAGATGCGACGTCACATGTGACACCACACACAACGTCACACAAGCGTCACGCAGTCGCCTGCCATGATTTTGGCGGTGGCATGGCGGGAGAGGCGAATGCAACGGACGCCCGTCCCGCCATAGGTCGCTCCGAAGCCAGACGGTCGACGGAAACCGAAGCAAAAGCGAGGCACAGGACGCCAAGACAATGGCGACCTCTGCGTCAGCCCGCCCGTCTTGCCGTCGTCTTTACGATCGACCGACCGGATCGCGGCATCTGTTGGCACGACGTGCCGGCCGCCGCGAAGCAATTTTTCTTGCCGACTCGGCACCGCTTTTGATGTGCAGGCGGGACGGGACACCAGACACGCCGGTCGAAAACGTGCTCCGGGCATCGTATTGTGGTCGGGGCTGGCTCACCTGGTCGCAGCAGTTGCCGATGATGAGGATCTCCTGCAGGCTGAGGTGGCTTGAGGGCACCTTTTCCATGGGCGGGGTGTTGAGCGGACTCAGGCGGTGGGACAGCACTATCGACGACGAGTCCAGGTCCACCACGTTCACCAGGTTGTCCGCCTGCAACGTCGGGTGGGTCGGCACGAGACAGAGGGACTGGTGCATGCGGCTGGGACCTCAAATCGTGTCGCAACTTGTTGCACCTGGCCGGGGTGCTTGGTATCGATAGTTACACCTCTGCTTAATGTACGACCAGAGTCGCGGGCGTCTCCTCGCACGTTGACGACTGTCGCTGCGGTCGCGGTGTGTGCAGCCAATGTCTCGTTACTCCTGCACCGTATCTGGAAAACTTTCCTCTTGACTTTCACATTGTTGTTGCTGCTTGCTTTCAAACTTTGAGAGACAAAAAAACCCTGGTTTTATTTTATGCATCATACTTTGGGAAATTCTAGGATTCTCTTCCCCAAAAATTTTAACAGTCAGGATTTAGTTACATTTTTATTTCGAGTGGAAACAAAATGTACTCTTTAATTGTCTACGGAAACGATTTACGAAACCGGGAGCTGGTGGTCTGCACCCAGGGGGATTTTAGGCTCGTTATTTCGGAGTTAACCATCCGTGTTTTTGAGAAAGTTGTTAATATATAGTACTAGCATTATGGGTCATTTTCATCTAAAACCATGTTCAAAGAAAATACAGGATCAACGTCTTCTTCTACTACCGTAGTTTTCATCCTTAGCGCCATTTTGCGTCCATAATGTTTAACCAACTAGCCCAACAGTTCATTTTGTTATAGACGTCTCGTCTGCTTCAAATGCATGCCGTTTGAAAATGCCAGTACCGACCCAACAACATCTGGCAAGCACGGTGCACATGTAGAGGGACCGAGGAAGAAACAAAAAAGAGGACGGGGACATTGCATTCGGGGTGAACCCACGTCGATGAAGGACTTGATCTCGCCCAGGACGAGGGACCATTCCAGCTGATCTTCCGGCTCGTATGTGGCAGTGTAGTCATCGATCTGCTTGGCAAGCTCCTGTGAAACAGAAAGTACAGTGAAATCCCTTTTAAAGCTATTATGCTTGTTCCCGAATCAGGAACGGTGTACTTATGACTGCTTCATACCTCAACTGTTCACAGGTCACGCTTTCTTCTCATGTTCATAGATTGACAAACATACCTCGATTTTCTTGCCAAAGTACTATCTACTGTTTTCCGGCGCAAAGCAATGAATGTAATTGTTTCATTAAGGGTGACTATACCAGGCAATCGCAAAAGGCCTTCGACAAGACATTTATGTGTACTTAGATGTTTACAAAAATGCAGCTATTGCAAAAAAAAAAAAAAGAGGCTTGCTTGAGAGTCGGCGATTAAGAACTGGTAGCTTGGGCCACCTCTCTTTTCCTCGGTCACGTGAAATAATGGCTGGAATCTTTTCGAAGTAACAATGCCGTCCGAAGAGCAAATTCATTAAAACATCTAATAGAATTCCTAACACATAACTTGTATAAAAGTAAAAATGCAGAGAGTGTGTTGGCAAACTTAGAAATGTAGTCAGGGGAGCTGAAACAGGCCCAGGGACCATTTAATGAGACTCCAGCATCCAATACAAGGATTCTGAGCTCAGAATGGAAATCAGAACCCTTTTCCAACTAAAGATGGCACCTAGCAATAAATGAATAGAACCTCTTTTTGAAGGATAAGTTCTAAAGTGCAGCGCTTCCAAAACAGCCCACAGCAGGTCATAGTAACATCACCTTAATTGTGGAATGGCAGCAAGTAACAAGGAATGACACTGAAGCTCTTGAACAATGGTGAAAAGGCCAAAAGATAGCTGCTCCATACTTTACCAAGAAATATAGAGCTGCTAGGCAGATGACAGTGCACGCATGTGCAGGACTTTTGGGAAAAGGTGGTCTGGGTATCAGTAAATAGGAATTTCATTCTATGAAATTTATTACAGTGACTGAGTGGCAAAGTGCAAAAACGAGCAGTGTAAAAAGCCCTGAGAATTTTGTGTTTGTGTGCAAAGAAACTAAAATCTGCAGTACTCTAGCGTGTAGGCTGAACAGGACGCTAAACATAGAAGTTGGAGTTTCAGGCATAATAACAGCCAGGAATGATTAAAAAGCTGGTCTTTGCATGTGAGCCCTCAATTTCTTCATGCTTCCTTTCTTTTTTTGCATTTAATTTGGGTTTCAGAGCCCTCTTATATTGTTTTAAAAATACAGCTCATTATTTCTAGCAGGTTGTACAGACAAAGTTCATCTCTGCGGCCTCAGGATGAAAGGCTGACATATAGCCTCGATTTTCCGCGAGGCAATAAATATTTAGTTTCTGCAATGCAGACAATCTTCCTAGTGTCCTCCTTTCCAAACCTGCTAGAGTATCAAAAAAAAGAAAGAACCAAGGCAGGGAAGGACACAGCTCTTTGCTTGAAGGAAGGTTATGAGACTTGAAAAAAGAGGAAAAAAGCCAAGTAAAATTGAAAAGAGAAGGGCATACATAGGGTTTGCATGCGTCATAAAGATGGAAGGAAAGTAGGCAAGGTCTGCAGGAGCTCACCCTCACTAGGTCCCGCACCAGCTTCATCTTCTTGAGCAGGAGGCACACAACAATGAAGCGTGCATAATACCGAAGCTTCTTGACCATCAGGTCTGACCGGTGCGAGTAGGGTAGGCTCTCCTCCTTGCTCGCCTTGGAATAGTAGCCTCGGGCTCGGATGGCCGCGTAGAATGAGAATGCCTCGTTGAGATAGTTGGTCTCGCTCGTACGCAGGCTGGGCCAATGACACAGAGAGAGCTCAGCGTGAGCTTCGCACTTTGTACATCACTTTCTATACTTCGTTTCACCTTAAGATGAGACTGCAGCAGATGCCATGAGCCGTCGAAACAAGCCCAATGCCGCGTGAAAGCCATTCGCCCTTGCGGAGGGGTGCAGAGTCACGCGATATGCTCGAAGCGCCTGTTTGGCTAGGATGGCTCATAGTGTACGATACGGCCCATTGTAACATAAAAAGGTGTATAGACGAGCACTGAAGCCAATGATGTCGATCGGCAAAAGCTGCGTTAAGCTTTTCTCTGTACCATGCGAACCTTTAACATCAGTGAAACTCGGGTTAGTTCACTTCACTTGATATGCGAGCGGAGCCAAATCTACAGGAAGAGTGTGTTGTCCCGAACAATGCTTGTACTACACGAGCCTGCGTGCTTGGCAGGGACGCTGAAAGCTCGAACTCTGCTCCCGTAGCCCCTTCTATGCTCACACTTAAAGTGAAATGGGAAATTTTTTGACAAATTAGCGTTGAAAAGATGTATCCTTGTTAAACTAAAGAGCCTTCCCCCAACCCAGAATCAAATGCATTGGAACGTATTGTTTTCTCAATTACACCCACACACAAAGATTATTTGAATTTGAAACATAAAATTAGATGTAGGTATATGCAGATATGCTCATTCAACTCACTTCATATCTGTTTGCAAAAGCATTGTTGCTGCAGTAAAAAAAAAAAAACAAAAAAAAACACTCATGTGTCAAGTAACACAAGAAAAAAAAGTAGCACACATAAATTGTATCAAGCTTGCGCAGAGAAATCGGCAAATTAATATAGGAATGCATCTTTCTAAGATTGTGAGAAACCAGTCGTGCCCGCAAGCATGCTTTCCCACAAGTACCAGTGTTCGGCAGGAAAGCGTGCTCTAGTCTGTCTACGTTTTCGATTACGTTGACATGACTGAACACGACAAGCCCAAATTATTTCCTATAGCTTACTGGAGGCATAAAACATATATAGAAGATCGAACTACAAATGCCTAAAACAAAAATCACACACCCTAGCGTTTCGGACAAATTACACAGTATTACATCAGCAAGGTGTAAATAACTAAACGCCACAAAGGTAACATCCAAGACGTAGTTCCTGGCGGTTACAGACTCAACGCGACAACGGACTTTCATTCAAAAATTCACAACAAATCGAAGAGCGTACTCACTAATAGTGGTAGTAAAGTTGCCCAATCTTGGATGCAATCTCCCCGATTTGCCATCGTTTCAGACCGTATTTAATGTCCAAAATTTGCCTGAAACGAAGAGGGCGGGTGTAGCCCCGTGTAAGATAGGCAGGGAACCACATACGCAGGAAAAGAAAAAGCAAATCAATATAGGAGGAAAAAAGCTAAAACCGCACCTATGTTGCTGCTGAAATTTCCATAACTTGGTGTACACGTCGAACGTTCTCCCAAAGTACGCCTGCCACTGCTTGTGTCCATACTGTGGCAGGTCCCTGCGTAGAAACGAACTTTCCGTTTGTTTGTTTTTATTTTGTTGGTTTGTTTACAAACGTGTATAACCGAATTATTATCAGAATACAGGCTTCACGGTTCACGAGAAAAATAATGACTCACAATACTGGTCCCAAAACTGGTTCTCTGAAACAACCATACCAGTCAAGAAGGGCGGCTCAGTACGAATTCCAACGCGGCTAAACTCGACCCAAATTTTTACGCAGCTATAGTCGTGCGTCGTGAATTACGAAGAGATTTGCGCATTTTGCTGTGAGGTAGGAAGCAAACAGTAGGTTTCTCGTTACCGAGCAGTGGCGACGCCAGAGGACCAGTGACTGCCGCTAGCAGACGTAAACAGAGCGCCGTCGCATGACTCACCTCAACCCATTGAAGAGTTGCTTGGACTTCTCGAGCAAGTGACAGAATTCGTTAACTATTTTGCGTTCCTGTTCCTCGATCTCACTCATAATGGCCATCCTTCGAGGCGCATGCTGTCCCAAATCTTCAGGACCTCCGGACGCAGGTCGCTTCACATGGTCCAAGCGATCGTAGTGCAGTGCGCTCCCTTTCTGCATCAACGGCGGGGTCGTTCCCACCCACGCGCGCGCTCCTGGCTTGCTCCCGGAGTTTCCGGCGCTCCCACTACGCTACGAGCTATCGGTAGGAAAATATAGTGGCTCTCTTCATGAGAACAACGGGATCCCAGGTAGGTTTCTTCACCGCCGGTGTCCACGCATAACAAGCAATAACAAAAACTGCAGAGGCCGCTAAGCCTAACTTACGAGTCTTCGAGACGCGAATAATATGCCGAAGATTAGTTTTTGGTTTTGACGCTAGGCGGCCACAAATGCGCGCGCCGCGCAAAAGCGTCTTCTGCACTGCGCACAAGGCTATGCGGTATGCTCGCCTTCCGCTGCGTGCCGTGGACATGTGCTGGTTTACAGTGTTGCATTTTGCCAGGTGTGTCGTGCAATTTGGTGGATGTGACAGCGGTGAAGGAAATGACAGTGTAGATATTAAAGAGACCTTACACCAGCCTAACACACTAGCGTCGAGCCGCGTATCCGGCCACGGGGCTCGCGATAGTTGGGGCGGTTGAACTTTGTCACTCGTAAATCCTGCGATCATTAAGCTGTTAGAAAAAGCTAGTGGTTTAACCCGGTCACTTATCACGGAGAACTGTATTTATAGTTGGAGTCCCGCGACGAGTCGGAACAGTCTGCAAGTGACGCTTGATCATGAGTGCCGAAGGAGAACCCGCGATTGCGACGGAGTCCGTGCTGAGGAGGTCCGGCGAACTGCCCACGGAGGAGAAAGTGGAGGTGGAGGGCTATGACTTTAACCAAGGTATCGACTACGAACGGATCCTTCAAAGCTACAGGTGCTGCGGCTTTCAAGCGACGCACTTCGATCGGGCAGTCACCGAAATTAACCGCATGGTAACGTTGCCTTTTTGTGCTCTCAGCTTTTTTACAACTCAGCCGCATGAAGGATACTAAGGTGTATATATCCGTGTAATTATATTGTGAAGAAATTTATGGTCGTTTCTAACAGGGACACGCACACATTACTAGCCATTTTATCATTAGAAAGTAACGCCATGTCCCAGCACTTTGATTCACCAGATACAAAGCAGAATGCAGTATGTAATGAGGCTGTGAAAAAGATTTTGCAAAATGCAATTCTATACTACTGCCTTCCAAAACCTTTGGATTTTCAATGTCTTTAGGAAAGCCTAAAGTTATCAATAAAGTACAAATTCTACAGATGCGTTCCTTGCTAAATTTTTGTATGAAATAAAAAATGGCATGTTTAGTCCCATTATCAAACAATAAATGGGCTAAAATAAAATGTATGCAAAAATAAAGATGGAATGGAAAGAAATGCATTCTATATGTCCAGATCTCTCCTTTCATTTCGTACCAGGGCATCAAAACTATTTGGCAACATGTTAACAATGCAGAGGAAACTAATGAAGTTCCATGAAAATACTCTCCAGAAATTGGTGAACCAAAATGAAACTTACCAAAACCAACCGTTTGTTCGCAAATATGAGTTTCCCGAATTAATTGATTGGTAGTTAGTTGCCCATTTTAGGACCAAGTTATTTTATGTCTAGATAGTGGGGGCCTAGTCAGCTCCACAATCTAAACAAGCTGACAATGTTTGGTAGTTGGTTTCCTGTTTTCAAATAAACCATAATCTCTAAAGCATGCTTTTCGTCTGTTAGACTAGTGGAATGGTGGGATAAAAGTTTGCTAGCTTGAATGTTTTCTTTGTATCTTTACTTTATTTCAACCCCATGGTGCCAAACCCCACCCTGCACGATAATGGAGTGGATGGAGAAAAACAGACAGCTTCGGCTTTACGTGAACACCGCCTCAGCTCCGTGCTTCACAACTTTTGTTTGCGTTGCATGCAGCATTTCTGGTCTTGGATGTTTTCAGCTGGAGAGCCGCAGTGTGCCACTGAAGGATGATCAGCTGGATCAGCACGAGACGGATGACTTCATACGCAGGAAATATGGCTGCACCATATTCTTGGGATACACATCAAACATGGCATCCGCTGGGATCCGGGACATCATACGGTTCCTCGTGGAACATAGCATGGTTAGGTCCCCTAACACTCCTTCCAGTTTTTTTTTTTTTTTTTTTTTTTACATTGTAGACAGTAAAAAAAATTGCCTAGCTTAGACATTTCATCAAATGTAGTGAAGGTCACTTCAGTAGCACTTCGTGAGGTTGATGGAATAGAGCTTGCTTATGTTGGTTGCACCACGGAAAGACAGTCTAAATGGTGCACTAACACTCCCCTCCCTCCCAAGGTGCAACCAACGAGTGCAAGCAAGGCTGTGGGGTGTCCCCATAAAAAGCTGGCACTTTAAAATTATCTCAGCAAGGTAGGGCCTTTGTCATCCTCGTTACTACGATGGACCGAAGGTACAGCATGGGGCACTTGACTCATGCCATCTCCTGCGATACTTTTCAACGAAATAAACCTGCTGGTCACAACTTAAAAAATTTAGAGTGAAGTAAATAAATTATTTATTCGAGCACTCGTCACATAAAGGCATTCTGCATTGAAGAACCAGAGATTCGTCTACTCAACCCTCTTTGCTCATCCCGAACCGCCTTCCCCCAAACCTCCTCGACAGGTCGACTGCATCGTCACGACCGCCGGGGGCGTGGAGGAGGACCTGATCAAGTGCCTTGCGCCCACCTATGTCGGCGATTTCAGCCTGCGGGGAGGCCCACTCCGCGACCTGGGCATCAACCGCATCGGCAACCTCCTGGCGCCCAACGACAACTACTGCCTCTTTGAGAACTGGATCATCCCCGTGCTCAACAAGATGCTCGACGAACAGCGCAGCCGCGGAACGGTCTGGTCCCCGTCCAAGATGATAGAGCGGTTCGGCCTCGAGATCGACGATCCCCGCTCCATCTATTACTGGGCGGCCCGCAACAAGATTCCCGTGTTCTGCCCCGCACTCACCGACGGCTCCCTGGGGGACATGATCTACTTCCACTCGTTCCGCAACCCGGGACTGGTCGTGGACATCGCGCAAGACATCCGCCGCCTCAACACGATGGCCGTGAAGGCGGTCAAGTCGGGCATGGTGATCGTCGGAGGCGGCGTGGTCAAGCACCACATATGCAACAGCAACATGATGCGCAACGGCGCCGACTTTGCGGTCTACCTCAACACGGGTTCCGAGTTTGACGGCAGCGACTCCGGCGCTTCGCCGGACGAGGCCGTCTCCTGGGGGAAGATCCGCAAGGACGCCCATCCAGTCAAGGTCTGCGCGGAGGCGACGCTCGTCCTCCCGCTCTTGGTCGCGGAGACCTTCGCCAAGTGGCACTTTGCGAAACGGAACGCCGTGAAGTGAGCGGGCACAGCGGCCGTGCCGACACGCGGGTGGTGTCGGCTGTCGAGAAGCATTTGTCGATGAGCCTCCGAAACTTGCTGCAAAGCGCGCGCTTCTTTCTCAATAAAATGACGTGAGACCCAACACTTTCCTTAACTGAAAGGACACTTTTATTTGCGCGGTTATAGTCGCCGACGAGGTGAGGGCGGCGGGGTGTCTCTTTGGAACGCTTGAGCCTTGCAAGATGCCAGAGCATTGTCAAAAGTTGGAAGCTCGCGCTGGAGGTGGGGCCACTGAAGCTCCTCCCCGACGTCCTCATCCCGCCGGCGCCCGCAGCAGCATTCTGCTACCATTTGGGTGGTAGAGCGCTAGTTGCGACTTACAAACGCACTAGCTTCGACTCTTCTCCCACCTGCCACACAAGTGCCCCAGGGACGTCCACACACATTCGAGGGTTTACATGTTGCCATGCAGAGTCTGGGTAAACGTAGCTTGTTGTGGCAGTCGAACTTGGCACTCACTTTTTACCTGTCGCGTGCGACTAGTGTCGGCCTGCAAGACGGAGGCATTACTCGAGCGCTCCGCATTTCATTGTCTGAATCACGCAGTCCGACGAATGCGCCACATCTCGCGTGCCCCCAAAAGTCCTCGCGGGAGAGCCGAACGACACGTCCACGTCGACCAGGTGCGGGGACGAGGGCTCGAGCTGTTCCCAGGTGACCAGGTGCCGGCAGTGGTTGATGTTGTTGAGGATGTGCTCGAGGCTCCAGTGCTTCCTGAGCAGGGCGTGGTCCAGTCCGAACTGGCCATACCGTACTTGCCGCACGCGGTGACACAGGGCGCATGACCGCAGCCGCAGGCCTATGTCGTGCACGAGCTGAAGCAGGTACGACGCGTCCTCGTTCAGGCAGCTGACCTCTGAGTGAAAAGAGAGAATGAGAACGTTGTTGGTGAGATGCGGCCACAACACCGGGCGTTTCGGGATCGGTGGAATCAAGAATCACAATCCAAAAGAAATTTTGCAAAAATTCTCGAGGGGACTTTTGTAAACGATTGTGGACTTTTGTAAACGATTGTTTACGGAATGATGTAGGGGCCCAGCCAAGGGAGCTGCAATTTTTCCAGTTTGTGTTAGCGACTCTAGGGTGAGAGCATGCATGTTGCTTTAAAAAGTGGTTAGTTTCACAAAGGCTCACATGGAATAGGAATCATAAATTTTAGTGCAGAACGTGTTCGAGCGTTGGGGTACCCGAGGAAGGTGTGACTGAGAGCCAGGAAAAGCGTTACGAGATATCTAACCCATGCTTTGGGAGACAATTTGTAAAAAAAAGTGGTAAATTGAGAAGAAAGAAAGAAAAATGCCTAATGTGCCCCTGTGGGAATTGAACCCGCGACAACGCCAAGGTTGCAAGGTCAACATTTTACCACTGCGCTAATTAGTGGGTTCAAGTCGGGGAAAGTCGACGGCAAAGCTGCAGACTTTTTCTTTAGCACGATGGTATCTACTAATCGTTCAAATGCAAATGCCAGCTTTATGGTGTTTGCGTTCAAACAGTTCATGGGGACAAGCAAGAAACCCAAGACATGCCCACCATCACATAGAAAAGAACTGAGTTTGATATATGCTATAATCAAGGAAAAATAATAAGAGCTGCAATGTTCACCACAAACCCCAAAGAAGACTGGAAACATATCCAATCTCATCCCTAAGATCAAGATAAATCAAGCTTTTTGAAACTTTCTTCATATTTCAAGGTTTTTAATAACACTAGCAATAATTATAAGCCCACATACCAATACCCCAGCAGGCTCCCTCCAAGTAAAAGTTCCAATCAAAATGTGCATAAAAAAAGCAGTCTAGACATTGCTCAGATGACTGAAATTGGTTTCACTGAAACAGTACTAAACAAGGTACAGGTTTGAGCCAGTTGATAAGATGGCATCTTATGCACAAGATGGCAAAACTATGACAGAACCTCTTATTTGCTGTGTGTGTCTGTTTTTCATTATTTTTCCCTGTTTCTATATGAAATGTTTTTACTATTTTTAAATACAATCGGTTCTCCATAGCTTGCTGTGTATTCCAGCTCTCACTCCTTGTTTGTCAATTAATGAATTTAGTGGCAAGCCTGTCTGAACAGTAAAACAAGGGGAAATATTGCGGTGTGTATTTCGGATGTATGTTGCCCCAGTTGAAACTTGGGCGAGTTGGTACGACATACTTAAAAGGTTAAAACAGTGCAAAAAAACCGACAGACAGGATGAAGGAGGACACAGACAGAGTGCTGCGCTCTGTCTGTGTCCTCATTCATCCAGTCCGTCGGTATTTTTTGCGCTGTTTTAACTTTTTAATTATGTTGCACCCAAAACACAAAAAACTTGCTGCAAGCACAAGAGCAATTCAAGCAGGTGGCCTGTTGTCATGGCAAAAAGATGAACAGTTTGGGAATTTATGACTGTAATCAACAAAGAGCATGAGGGGCACTCCAGCAAACCAAAGAATAACCTTGAGCACCTGGGGATCATTAAAAGGACAATGACACATTACATGGAGCCTACACTGCCATCGGCCTTTGTCAGATTGCGGGCGCCTCATCCGAGATTTGACACACATTGAGGCAAAGCCATCGCAGGCACTTATTGCCCATTGTATTTGTACTTCTTTACTGCTTGTTCTATCTTGTTCTTCTTTACTGCCAGTTTTATTTATAGCATGGCCTTGCTGCCTGTTGTATTTGCAGCATGACTTTATGCAATAGCAGTCTTGTCAAAGGTGCGGGGGAATGAATCAAATGGCTTATCAAAGTCCCCCGACAACTACATTATTTACTGCACACAGCTGTGTAATATGAGATTCTTTGTTTACGGGCTTTATATGCTACAATATAATTTCAGTTTTAGAGCGCAGCCTTAGGCGCCCGTTTTCGTGTTTCGCGGCATCAGAGTAGCCGCGTAAACGGGCAAATTTCCATCACGTGACCTCAACAACAATTCGATTCCCTGCTAAATTTTGCAGAAAATTGAATTGCTGTCGAGGTCATGTGACGTCAATTTTCCCGCCAAATCTAGCTGAGAAACTGAATTTGTTCCTAGGTGACGTGTGATGTCATTTTCCTCACTAAATTTAATTTAGCGGGAAAACTGAATTGGTGTTGAAATCATGTGGCATCAATTTTTCAGCTAAACTTTGTGGGGAAACTGGGAGGAGGAGGAGGAGGGAAGGGTAAAAAGGAGGAGGATGGGAGGGTATGGAGGAGGGGGAGAGGAGGAGGTGGTACACACCCTCCCCCCCCCCCCCTTCTCACGAGCTGCGCTCTAGCTTTGCGTCACAGAGATTTATAAACGTCTTTCATGTTTTCAATCTAAATTTGAGGAAGAATCGAGTTAAGGCCAGTCCACACAGTACTATTTGCCTACGTTGCATTATGCTACAGGAGCTACTGTGCTTACGTCAAGGGTCACTGGGACATCCGTGGTTCGAATAAAGCATGGCAAACAATTCAAGGCGTAGCTTTGCACGCAGTACACAAAGCCTGTATGCCCTGACGACTCATGAAGTAATGCAAGGCAATGTAAGCAAATGCTTACCAAATTTGTGGCATAGATATGTGCACCAACCTGCTGCGTGCACTTGTAGTATATGAGTGTCTCATCAGCTGGAAAATGTTACAATTGAGAAAATGTGTGCCTTTGATAAAGGTTGCGCCAATGTGCTAGAATGGTCCAAGTTATTTTGGAGCAGGAACAAGAAAATGGGGAGTGCAGGCATAAACTCATAATCGTTTATTTTACTGCAAAAGCTCAAAACCTATATTAAGGTTCAAGTGTCATCCTATAAACAGTGCATCCTTGCCTTCCCACTCCTGTGCAACCACTTCTAAGTAACTATGGCGCAGCATAGTTAAATTGCAAAAGTAACTGAATTTGGCACATCAACGACATCTTACCTGTAGAGATTTATGATGATGCAAAGTCAGCATGTGGACAATAAATATGCCTTAAAAAAGCAGCTGAATTTATTAATGTTATTTACAAGCTTTATTTCACTACAAACATGAATTTAGTTTTAATTTGAACTTTATTGACTGCATCCACAAACAGTTGGAAAACTATATAAAAATGTTAAAATAAAAAAAAAAATCATGGCACCGTCCAGCTACACCTAATCAATGTGATTCATCAACCCCCTCTCAATGCCCAAGTTCAAAGTATGCTTCCCTACATCTCAAATTTGAAATAAAAGGAATACATGATTGTGCATCTTTTCTGAGTGTCACAGTCTATCATGTGAACTAATCAGTTTTATATTCTATTTTACTATCTTTACTTCTGTGTACATGTATATCAAGATTTTTTTTTTTTTTTTTTTTTACTTCTTGTTTGTTTTGAATATTTCAGACCTCGATTTGTAACCATTGCGTACTTGAAGAATATTTTACTCTTTAAAGAGATACTGACAGGGTATTTATGTTCGCCGAGGTTTTCATTTGTAGATGACATTTGAGAGCCCAACTACCCAGGACGGTGGCTTAGCCACGAATTGTTTTCGGGGGGTGGGGGTGGGCTGAGGTGGCTCAGATGTCCATGACTTGGGGTGCCGAAAGGGAGAGGGAGAGGGGGAGGGGGAGGGGGGGGGGGGGTCAAAATGCATGTGTATGATATAGGGTCGGTTGCATTTTGGGTGGGGGGGGGGGGGGGGGGGGGGGGGGTCTGAAGCCCCATAAGCCCCCCCCCCCCCCTGGCTACGCCCTTGGCCCAGAACACAATTTGCAGCTTCAAATTCGTTTTTTTTTTTTCTGCCCGAAAACCGCTGATCGAGAACTGGTGAGTTTCAGTCACACTCGCTCTCTTTTCCGTGGTCACATGCTGTTTTGTACAGTCTAGACACAATCACCAAAGACAATGAAAGTCGTGGGTCATCGAAGGCTCACACTTATTACTAGAAATGGACAAAGATTATGATACCCATTTCTTGTGGCTTCTAAAAAAACTGCAAATATGTGAAAAAAAGAAAAAAAAAAGTTGCACAGCCATGTGATTTTTGGTATCTTTCTCCTCCATATTTCTTCTTCCTCCCCAGTTCAGTTTAGGTTTCGAGCAGTTGCGTTTTTTTTACTTTAAAAGAAAAATCTATGTGACACTGTAGCAAAATATTGATTGGGTAGTCTTCTGACACCATAATGGATCACCTGGCAAAAAATAAAAATAAAGTTTCTGGGGGTGTCAGTGTCCCTCTAACATGAGGGTGCGCTGCGGCGAAGCGACACACACAGAATCGCAATTCCTTCCTCGAGCGTAGCTTCTCTGTAACGAGCAATGCATCCAGTGCACACTCAAAAGAACTAACTAAACCACCCGAACAGACGACAAACATTGAGAAATATTCCGAAATTTCAGAGTACTGAGTCATGTTAAATACGAAAATCACATCAAATCACAAATTATTATGAACAATAATTGAAAGTTCTGAAAATTTCCTTGAAACCTCAACTATTAAATTGTGTATTGATAAATTTGAAGCTTTAGGCACAATGTGGGCACAAATTCCTAGCATTATGGTAAAATATGAGGGTACACACTATGGTGCAAATGGTGCAGCAATTGCATAACTTTATATATATGATGGGGCTGTGAAATTAAATAATTAACTGTTTCATCGATTAATGAGATACGGCACATGTTTTGGCCATAAGGTGTTTGCTTGGTCATTTTAGTATCTTTGAAAACTGCAACTCGGGTTCTGATGTAACCTTTACGCTGTAAACCTAACAATCGTAAAATACCATCGAGCATGCACCCATGTTAACACCAACTTATGAAGGGGTCGTAAAATAAAGCAAGGGACATATGAAATGCCCACCCGAGACTTCTGGGCCTACTAATACCCGTTTTCACCTCAAGAAAAATGCAAGTTTTGCGCTTTGTTCATACACGACGCAAAGTGGTTCTTACAAGATTGGGTTGTTGGATGAAAAAGCAGAGCTTTTGGCATTTGGAACGTGTATGTCTTGATAAGATAATGTATATCTAATTTAAAATGCACCTACATATATCTTAATTATCCACATAAACGGAAAAATTAGTAATGCTCTATGAAGCCAAACTTGTTTTACTGTGGTTCTTGAGGTGAAAACATGTATAGCTAACCGAGATGCTTCCTGCATTAGCTGCTCCCTGCATTAGCTACCAGCGCATAGCAGAGAAGCTTAACGTGCGTGCACCAGTGCAAGGCAGTGAAGCCCACCCTGTCATGTGCCTCTTCATCATTTTTGCTTTTTGTCTCTGACCTATTCTCCTTTCAAATTTAAGCTGAGATTAGAAGCTCTGCCTTCAGCGCGAGCTTTCTGCCCTTGCTAACACAAGTGTGAACGTGCAGGCACACGCAACCAAAGCACTGTGAAAGTCAACGAGCTCATGCTGAAGATAGAGCTTCTAGTCTGTTTGAACGGAGTATAGCAAGTGCCCATCCATCAGTTTTTCAGGACAATTTCGTTTTTGACACCTCTTCAGTATCTTACGGTAAGTTCACGGCACAACAAATAACCAAAACTAAAATTTCCCCATTAAATATGCCGGCTTCCCCTATCCTTCATGCAAAGTGGGGCTATATGCAGTATAATTTTTTACCTAGGGTGAAATAAGGCAGGTCGAACTCCGTACAGCGAATGTTGTAGATGAGCGTGGGCGATTTGTCGGCTGGGCGCACGGTACCGGCGGCGGCCAACTCGTAGGCCTCTTGGGTGTCCATGTGCACTCCGGAGTACCTGGCGTCAAAGGGAGAAACAAGAAACAGAACGCTTTGAGACTGGTGGTCATCACAGTAAATTTTTTCGGCATCAAGACAGATCACACAGATTGGCAACTTGTGACATACTTGAAAGCCTGGACTTGGTGCGTTGCCTGGATAGAGGAGAGAAGTCTTTCCATCTTGGCTATGGTTATGTGCCCTGCAAAGACAGAGTATGTCATTCATTGCAGAGTAACATACTTTGTACATTGCAAATGGACGACAAAGTGTGTCGTCCGTTGCAAAAGACAAGGCATGTTGTCCATATTGCTTACATGTGCATACAGCACATGCAAAGTATGTTGTGACATTGCAGAGGGAAATGAGAAATAAAATGTGATTTATTCCCTGCCCTTGATCACTACAAAAGGTGAGAGTGCTGCTGTATCTGTGCTCACTTTCAATACGCTTTTGAGCTGCAAACGGTGTCTGTGCATCAAAGTGAGTTCTGTATGACTGACGTTCTGACATCCATTACATGAGTTCACAAACTGCTAAAGCATAATGTGCTTGAAGCATTATGTGCCCGCATGAAAAGTAAGAAAATGATGTACTACTATTGCTGGCAAGTTATACCTTTTACAGATCATCTGAATGCTACAGGATTTTAGAAGGCCAAGTGAGGTGAGGGAAAAAAAGAAGAAAAGCAAGAACTTGTTGTGGCACATTTTTTTGGAATCAATACAAGACAAGAGATTTAATTGGACTTAGCAGCAGAAATGGTCCGCGATGCAGAAGGCAAGTCGTCTGCTTCTTGCGCAAGGGCTGCAGAGATGTCAGAACAACGCCGAGCTCTGATTGGCTTGAGCTCCAATTGAAAAGATGGTGGGTAGACGGTAGACCTCGATGATAGACATGCTAGATGCCTTGAGGTCTACTCACTATTTTTAGAGTGCAGCTCTTAAGCACCTGTTTCCGGCTTTCAGCCAATAAGAGCTCAGCATTCTGACATCATCGCAACCCCTGTACAAGATGCAGACAAATTTGTGCTCCGCACAGTGCTACATACCGTAGGTGGCTTGCTCTACGATTTTGGAGTCGGGAGTGAGGGTGTCCGAAGCCTTTCCGAACTCGCCGCGCAACTCGTAAGTGCGCAGCTGATTCGAATGTCGAAGCTTGAGCAGCTTTTTATGGCTCGCATTGACTCCCATCACTGAAAACGAGATAATGAACAAAGTCAGGAGCCTTTTTGGTTCACCACACGTAGAGTCCACGTGTATCCGTGGTAATCGACAAGTCTGGCAGCCCGAAACAAACCATTCAAAAACCACCGGTCTGCACCCGGCATATAGTCAGAAGCAATATTTGATTGAAAGAAAAAGGTTTTTCTTTAGATAGTCTACACCTGATGCACAGTCCACAAAAGCAATATTTTATTGAAAGAAAATAGTTTCTCCTTGGAGAGTTTGCAACCAATGTAGAGTCCACAGAAGCAATATTTTATTGAAAGAAAGGTTTTTCCTTATGGCGAATTCCACTGGTCGTTTATGAGTGTACCTATTTCACTGGGCGATCAGGATCAAGACGGATGTGTGGACCAGCTCCCACTCCAGATCTTGATCCAAATCCAAGAAAGGTCGCTCCGCCGATTTCGACCGGAAGCCAGCCTGGCCAGCCCTCGGCGCGCATACGTGACGTCCTTTCTCGCCGGGCATCTCGCTAAGCATCTCGCCAGGACCACGGGAAGAGGATTCCCAGGAATGTGAATGATGGGAAGGCATCCGCCGATCCCGGAGGAGCAGTCGTGTTCCATTCGGGATATGGAAACAGAGCGACTCCAGTCGGATTGCATGCTCAATTTCGGATCTGGTATACTGATCCTGGTGCAATCAAAAACGACCAGTGGAATTTGCCATTAGATAATCTGCACCGGGCGCATAATCTGCACCCACAGCTGGTGCCTAGTTCATATGCAGGGCCAGATTAAGGCATAGGCTAAGGGGGCTGCAGCTCCAGGATGCCAGAGAGCCCTGTACTAGCCTCTGGAAATTTGAAAAAATGCTAAGTTGGCTTGTGTTCTGACATGATCAAACCAAAAAAAAAAAAGAAAACTCACAGGGAGGTAACTTTGTGGCACCATTCTCCCCCCACCACCCACCCCTTTTTTTCTCAACGAGGAAACAAGGATGTAAAGTTTCCTTCTCTAGACGAGCTGGTCTTTGTAAGCCTGTTATACAAGACTCTGCAAGAGAATCCAAATGTAGGCATGGCCTCCCCACCCTCCTTGTCGGAGGGAGCAAAGCCGCCGACGCTGTTGGTCCTGTCGAAGTCTCTTCTAATTACAGCCGGACGGAAAGACGGCCATGTAGTTCCCTTTAATACTGGAGATCCCTCGACGTGTTTTGCACACAATGGTGGGTTGGAAGGCAAGCAGGCGTTGCCGGAGGCTACACGAGCAATGTACATACTACACATTACTTTTTTCTTATTTTTTACCTTTTAGCATATAGTTTTAAACAAGAAGTTTTCTTCAAACATCAAGTTTAAAAAAAAAGAAATAAAAAATAAACGAAAGAAATACCTCAAACCCGTCTTTCTAACCACTAACAGGTGCTTCAAGCGGTTGATTTTCGAGTCTTGAGACGTCCCCCAAAAGTTATCAATGGGCGCTCACTTCGAGCAACTGCTCTCGAGTCGGTGTCTGATCTGTCAGTGTGAGGGAATTCTTCCATCAAGTGATATGAGCGCTGCAATGATTTTACACACCTCTAAGCTATGACCTATTAGTTTAGAGCGCAGCTCTTAGGCGCCCGTTCCCGTGTTTCGCAGCGTCGGCATCGGCGTAACCATGCTAAATTTAGCGGGAAAATTGATGTAATGTGACCTCAACACCAATTCAATTCCCCTCTAAATTTAGCAGGGAAATTCAGTTTCTCCGCTAGATTTAGTGGACAAATTCAGTTTCTCCACCACATTTAGTGGGAAAATTCCCCACTAAAATCAGGAAATTGATTTGGTGTTGACATCACGTCACGTCAATTTTCCCGCTAAATCTAACGGAGAAACTAAATTTGTCCGCTAAATCTAGCGGAGAAACTGAATTTTCCCACTAACTTTATTGGGGAACTGGATTGGTGTTGAGGTCACGTGACGTCAATTTTCCCACTAAATATGGCGGAGAAACTGTATATGTTCGTAAGTGACGTGACAGGAAGTCATAAACGTGGCGTAAATTTTTCAGCTAATTTTAGCGTGGAAACTGGGAGGATGGGAGAGCATGCAGGAGGAGGAGGGGAGGGTACGGAGGAAGAGGGGGATAGGAGGAGGAGGGTGCGTAACCACAATATATCGCAAAATCAAAATACCTCAAGAGCTGTGCCCTAATTTCGCATTACAGGGATTTATGAACGCCTTTCAATTTTTTAGTTTAGAGTAATGTGCCCAAAACTGCAAAGGTCTAAATTACTGCAATTAGAAGCGAGACAACTTCCAAAACTAATTTAAATAGTTCCTCCTTAAAATAAACAGTATGTAGAGGAGTTTCAAAATATCTTCCTAATTTATGAGAAATGCCTGTGAATTTGCCCAAATGAGTGTGGTTGCTAGGGGTGTTCTTAGATAAGATAGAGCAACCATGACCGGCAACCACTTTTAATTTTGATGAAAAAAAAAAAATAATATTTTGCTGGCTTCATGCCCAAAAGAACAAAACCAATCCTTAATCTGGAAAAAAAAATTATATTTGCAAGAAAAAACAAATAATAAGCACCCTCTCAGTAACGTGCGCTTTTTGTGTATCACGTAATGTTGGCATTTCGGGCGGCTTCCCCCCAAAAAACTGTATTGGCTACAGGTATAAAAATATTTACTGACAAATTAGGCATATAAAGGATTTATTAAAAAAAAGTATTAATCACCGAGTATTAGGATCGTTATTTTGTTAAACGAAATCGCGAATACGGCACTTGCGCAATAACGCTCTACATTAATTTTTTTTTTCCTCCGTATTTATAAAAGCTAAGGTCTTCAAACTTTGCCAGTGTGTTGCCCTGTATATAGTTCACCTTTGCATGGAATATTGTTGTCCTGGTTAATGGGAGAAATTTACGAGAATCGCTCACGCAGGGGCACTTAACTAAATATGTATTATTTTGAAAATCATTTTTTTAAAAAAAAAAGGTCATCTTTAATATTCTTTAAACTCTCAGAAATTTATGTTTATAATACATACTAACAGAATCTGCAAACACATAATGCAATATTTGTGGGGCTTTAAAGCTATAAAGCGAGAAATATTGCCAAATTGACGCTAACGCGCTTGCACTACCCATTCTTGACAATTTCATTATTATTAAAAAGCTTAAAAATGCTACGGGGTGGTCAGGAAAAGTCACACTGACAGCACAGAGGTGGACTGTAGTTTCGAAGGGAAAACTCCTAATTAATTTTCGTACAACCGACCCAAAAATGCCCATGGGCCAGAACGATCGAGAGGCGCACCACCCTGTTCAGCTCAGAGCGTGGAGCGAAAGCTTGCGCTGGGAACCTCCCGTTTCGATCTAAATCACTACTGCATGCTCATGTGGCCTACGTCGCTGATGGTGCAGCAAGCCACTTTAAAAACAAATACCAACTACACAACCTGCAGAGCAACAAGTACAGGTCAGCGAAGTGGATTTTTTCTGCAACTGGACATGGCAAGAATGCATGCAGTAAAATCGGGGGTCTTGTCAAGCACCAGGCAACGTTGTACAACCTCTGAGGGCCCACCAAGTCGGTAATCAAGTCGGCGTCAGAGATGGTTGCCCCACTGAACACTAAACTGCCGAACGTGAAACCAATCAACCTCCCGAAAGCTGACGTCAAAGCGTTCAGGGACATGAAAGCAAAGGAGTGGGACTCTGTTTCTGTTGTGTGAGGAATTCAGTCCTGTCACTCGTGGCAGTGTACGCAGTTCGACACTTCGCAACCACAGCTGTTTTTAGCAAGAACAGTACACATAGAAAAGATATATCTCTTATCGTCGTCCTATGGCTGCAAAAAGCATATCGAGGTCGCGAGCTTGCGGTGCCACTGAGAAGAAACGAACAGTAATTGCTAAAAGCAAAATGGAAAAAAAAAAAAAAAAATTCCACTTCTGAGTGCCAGAAAAGCGTCGTGACCGACTCAGGTCATGGTCCTGCAGAAAGAATGCATGTGACACGCGCCGAATGTGCGCACAGGATCTTGATTCATTAAACTCGTTTCAATTGTACCACTTTAAAGGAGCGGTGCAACGATATTCAATTGGAATGTTTTTCACTTGACACGAGCTTACTGGCACACCTGGGACTCAAGGATACTCACAAGCAACGCCACTGGCCAAGAAACTCCTTTGTTGCGGTGTAATTTCAAGGACAAAAGCGATCATTTTCATTCAATCTCTCCTTTGCAAAATTTGATGACGTGACGTGGGGATCGCAGTACACCCAAGTGACGATATTTGAATGCGGTTCATAGATTGGACCCGAGCATTGCGTGGGCACTCGACTTCGGCTCGTGATAATTGCTAGCTCGAGAAGCATTCGGGTAGTGGCCCGTTTCCAATCGCTGCAACGACGACAACAGCCGAGCCATAAAAATGTCTGGAACTCAGCGCGTGTCCTGCGCTTTGCCAACCCCAGCGCGTGGCTATGATCAACATTGGCGGCATATAATCGGCTCCAGATCACGTGGCCGCTTGTTCTGGCTGCGAGTTGAGGGGGTGAACGGTGCTCGTGTTTCTTTAATTTTTTTCTGGGACTTCTATTGCGTGGGGTGAAAAACGAACGCGTGTTTCATAGGTCATTAACGTTAGGGATCCGTTTTAAGCGGTATTTGCGCAAAGTACAAAAATTGTTGCATCGCTCCTTTAAACATGTGTTCTTTCTTATCACTATTTAAACCTGGTCGACAGCAGCCCAGCCTTCCTACGAAGGGTAGGCTTCAAAATTCACTGATCCGAGAAATCTGTATTTAAATTGTTGACTTGTGCTTCAAACTCATCTGTAATATTTTGTATAAATTCTTATTTTTCACAAACTCCTGTCACAGCGCTTTCTCTTCACAGACTTCCTACATTTTTCGACCCCTTTCTTGCCCCTGCTTGAAATCGACAACGCCCTATTTTTTTCTGTTCGTGTTACGGCGATTCTGTATAGTTCGCGCTCTGTAAATTCAAAAATACAAAACTATCGGAAAGCATGTATGAAGGGCCTAATAGGGCAGATTATAAGACTTGATCTGTGAAAAGTAAAAGAAAAATTCAGATGGCCTTCATTTTAAACTGGTTTTCCAATTCATGTAAAACCAGTAACCTGTCTACATTTCAGTGCATTTTTTTTTTCAGAAAGGTTATCGTTTGCAATTTTAATGACGATTTATGTGAATATTGAACAAACGAGTCCAAATCACGTTAAAAAATTCCAGTTTCCAATCTTTTAAGATCCGGATCCATAAAGCTATGAATTGCTTTGTAATCGACAATACATGTTTACCACATTTTATTTTATGCACAGTCTCTGCACAAAAAATACTAAACCTAAGTCGACAACAGTTTTCTTTTATGAACATCCAAAGGGACGGTTTCACGCAAATCGCAAAAACGTGCGCATATACCGAGTACCGACAGCAACTTTAAGATTCTTGTTCCTAAAAAAAAAAAATTTATTTAAAAAAAAAAAAAAAAAAAGTTTTGCGGTTGCACGAGTAAAATATATCTTTTGGTAAAAATAAAAAATGGCGACCGGACATGTTCGATCCTATCTGAAAACGCCCAATACAAACAATCTCAATCAATCAAAATTCTTTTTTTTTTGCGTTCTGTGGCTTTTTGCGATGGCGGATTTATTGGCGCTCACAGGCGGCGCAGGTTTTGTCGCGCCCTACCTCCTATATCATGTTACCGCCAAGGCTGTAGCTGATCTGTTTGCAAAGCCGCTCCGGTTGCTACCTTTACTTTCACGCCTGCTGTTGAAAAGGCACCGCGAAGCGTGTGACAGGGTGGCGCCTCTTGATCGCTCCGGCCCATGCGCATTTTTAAGGCGGTTGTACAAAAATGTATTAGGCATTTTCCCTTCAAAACTACCGTTCACCTCTGTGCTGTCAATTTGTCTTTTCCTGACCACCCCGTAGCATTTTTACGCTTTGTAAAAATAATGAAATTGCCAAGAATGGGTATGTACACGCCCCACTCATGGCAACCGCATTAGCGTCAATTTGGCCATGTTCCTTGCTTTATAGCGTCAAAGCCACACAGATATTGCACTACGTTTTTTGCAGATTATGTCAGTACATATTATAAACATTAAGTTTGGTGAGTTAAAACAATATTGAAGATAGAATTTTTTTTAAAATAAATTTCAAAAGAATGCATATTTAGTCAAATGCCCCCATTTGAGAAATTCTTGTGAATTTCTCCCACTAACCAGGATAACAATATTTTATGTAAAGATTAACTAAATACAGGCACCACACTGGAAAAGTTTGAAGGCCTTATCTTTTATAGGTACAAAGAAAAAAAAAATCTTTAATCCAGAATGTTATTGCACAATATGTGCCGCATTTGAGATATTGTTTTTCAAAATAAAGACACTAATACTCTGTGATTAATACTTTTTGTCAATCCTTCCTATGCCTAATTTGTCAGTAAATATTTCTAGACCCCTCGCAACAGTGTTTTTGGGGGGAAGACGTCCGAAATGTCAACATTGTGCGATACGCAGCACGCGCATGTGACTGAAACAGTGCTTACAAATGGTTTTTGGAAAAACATTTTGTCACTGGCTCCCTGAGTCAGTGACAAAAGCGTCTAGTGTGCATACACGATTGATTCCCATTTTCCCACCCCCCCCCCCCCTTGATTTTTCACCTACGACGCATAACACCACCACCACCATTCGCAAAAGTTCCACAACTGAGGTAATCTAGTAACGTTGGGGGGTACCCAACTTCACTCACTTCAGTCCAGCTCCCGTCGTTTGAAGTGCCATCTAGATTTTCGTTTCATAACTGTGTGTTCTATACAGCAGACCATGAGCGCCATCTAGACGCTGTGCTTTGAAACATATGTAGTATTCCATAGAATCTACTGCAGTTACCATAGCAGCAGTCCGGCGCGTCGAGCGACGGGAGGCGAGTCATGGTGAGTGAGGGAGGATACTACTCGTGCAAGCAGTGTCCATGAGCAGTTCCGTAACTGAGGCAATCTAGTAACGTTGGCTGAAAGTCACCCCCAATTGGCCACCACAATGTTGCACATTTTTTACCACTAGACACGTGACCTTATAGTTTTACCTCTAGATTTTAACGAAGTACCACGCACAAATAATTGCTTATTGATCTTCAATAACAGTATCGACGAGATAAGTTGTTTCATTTGCATTAAGTCCAAAACATGCCATGACGACAAAAACTCAGGAAGCTTCGCAATGGCTCCTCTAGATGCCGTCAACCGTGGTGCTGTATTTTGGGTTTTCATCGGAGCTAGACACTGATCTCTGGGGCTAACAGTATTGAAAAAATAGTTTATTCATTATTTGAAAATACTGCCAATTCCTTTGGGATTTTCGCAGGAAGTTGCACACAAAAGTAAGTTCACACTCATTCACATTTCATCACATCTACAACATAAAAATGCAAGTAATTTGTACAATAAACACTGGGATATAAAGAGTAGAAATACCTTTAAGATTGATGGACAAGGGTTAAATAAATTTTTTTAAACCAAACTAAACAACCCCTGTTCAATCACACGTGAAAATAAAAAAAATATGCAAACCACGTCATTCAAAATTGCACATCACTGTGCAATAAAACATTAAAACGAGATAGAAATGGTGGGATGGAGGTGCTATTAGTAATGATAGGATCTAGTTGACTCCATTCTCTATAGTAGCTAAAGGAAAAAAAGAGTAGCAGAAGCAGTCATTTTTAAAAAAGTATTCAGTCAAGGTTTTACGATGTTTGTGCCTGGTCCGTCTAGTATTTAAAAAAGAGACATACTTGGATATGTCAATTTTGAAAGCATCATGTAGCAGAGAGTACAAGAACTTAAGCTTAAGCCGCTTAGCCCTGTTAGCTGGTCTGAGGAGACTAGACTTTTTGAAGAAGTTCAGTTGGTTAGTCGGTGCGCCTGTATTTGTTGAAGATAAATCTTACTGCTTTGTGGAAGTTTACAAGGTCGCATGGAGCTGCTCAATGCACGTGACACTTCTCAGCACTTTCCCCAATCGTTCATTGCTTAGCGTTTTGTTCCTTGAAAGTATTCTATCGTAGTGCTGGAGCAATCATCTATTTCCAAAGCAGCCTCTAATCAACAGTCGCCTTCTCTTCATTTCCATCCAGTGAAACCTGAATTTCCTAGTTACTGGATCTACCGATACAGAAACCACCCAAGATGTATATCGAAAGAACAATATCTGTATTTTATAAGGTGGTGAAATTTACATGTTACTGTCATTGTTGTTACTACCAGCACCGTCATCATCATGGTCAATATTATCATCATCATTAGGGGTCTCACAAACAGCCTTAGGCAAGGGCCCCAAAGTTCCTTAACCTGGCCCTGTCTATATGTGAAAAAAACTCATAAACGGCACACCTTGATCAATTTTTGCCATCTTAGCCCACAAAGAAGCATACATAAATACCATATTGTCACTCACAAAATCCGCCATGTCTCGCCATACTAAACAATATAGATAATTAAATCCTCGTATAGTGCCCACATATTTATCCACAGACTATACTCCGGAAAATATGACAACTGTTAATTTCCTACTATAGAAACGGCAACTAAAATTTATGTAAGAACTTCTTGTTCACAACAGTCTGCCTAAAGTTTGTTTCTTACCCACTACACCAGATGGATACCTCCCAATATCATGGACCCATGTTAATTTGATGTCCTTTGCTTGGTACCTCTGTCCCACAACTGAAAAAAAAAAAGAAAAAAAAAAGTAAAAGGGATGTGTGTAAAAGCCATGCTTGCAACACAGTATGATGCCGCGATCAACTACGTTGGCGTGGCTTACCAAGGGGATGGTCAGCCAAGTTTGGAACTGTCGTGATGGTCAGCTCTTTGCCACTCGCCAAAGATCCCACTATCTTGACGAAGTCTGTCGGTGGTCTAACCTCCATCTCGTTCAGATCTGCGGAAAGAGGGGATAGACAGTTGACTACTGTCGGAATCGTCGGAACGAAGCGGATCAGTGGTAATGGTTTTGCCGAGTGAAGTTTTATAAAAATGGCCTCCTTTCAACATTGTCAGCCTGATGATTGTCCTTATTTCTTTTTATTTATTTGCAAAATTATGGGTAGACACTTGCGATTGAGCGTGAGAGAATTTTGGTCGTAGTGCGATATCCGTTGTTCTATAGGGGGACCAAACTTTCCCGTGTTATTTCGAACTCTTTCCTACAAAAGGAATCTGCTTACGAAACAGTAATTGTAATAATCTTCACTGGCTCAGGAGAGCCGCGGCACCGCAGAAAGGCAACAGCCCGTACTGCCCGTACCATGGAGGTTCGCGGTGCAGCGTTTAGTCGACAAAACGGCTACGAATACTGCGTACCTCGACACAAATTTCCGATGATAATTTTCCGAACATTGTGAATACTCAGGTTCGCAGGTTTGTAAATGCAGAAGAAACCCCTGAGAAGCTCGAACGCTCTTGGTGCGTAGGTCACGGTTTGTAACGCCATCTTTCCTGAAAGAAACACTGTGCAAGTCGTTTTTCACGCTCCTTTCCACGACGCAACAGAGTCGATGAAACAAACACTCAATCAATTTATAAACGCAGACTGCATGAGCCTGCCGCAAGCAACCAACACGCACAACACGCTCTTTTCCGCGCTTCCCAGGGCGCAGCCATGTTAAATGGGTTAAATGCCTAGACGTGTAGAGTAACGCAAATTAAATATTTTATAAAAAATAAACACAAAAATTATTAAAATTAGGCGGCGGCTTGCGTCATCTAGCCAGCGTCGCCAGAGTTTTGCCAGAGTTGACAAATGAATAGATAAATGTATATGACTGAATTCCAAACAGAGCGGCGTGTGCGCCACCACGCGTGGCGCGGTGGCGCACACGTTGTTGTTGTTTTATCACAACTGTTTTTATTTACTCCATACAATAACACTAATATAAGAAGTATCTTCGTGTAAGTTCAAAAACGCTTTAGCTTGTTTTAAACACACCAAATACTAAACTTATATATTTTGCTTCCCCCCTTTCCGCTTTCTTTTTTCTGTCGCGACCTTCCTTTCCACTTCCTCGTTCGTTCACTCTCGTTCTCAAATCTTCCTTTCCTCCCACGCGAGCAACCCTCTCAAGTGCTGCGCTGCTCTGTGCCGTCCCTCGGGCCTCCGGACTTCATACGCGAGTTTCAACGTCTCGATCGGTGGTGCCGTTCGTTGCGGAGCTCTCCGATATTAAACCCCCAGGAAAAGTGGACACAGCTGGAAACCGAGTGACAACGAGCGAGGTAGGTACGCCGTAATGCGAAGCATATGCGATGGATACGTGGCTCGCTATCGGGTCCGTCGGTTGCGATACTTTGATCATGTTGCTACGTTCGTTTGTCCAAGTTGAAATTGTTTCCTTGGGTTCAGAGGCGATTGACCTATCATTATCTGTGTACGTATGGCGCTCGTGTATATATATATTTTTTTTTTTTATTCTGAAGATAGATAACGCCGCGCCTTTCGTGTGGCCGACTGCTTCGACCGCATAAAAGCAGAGAAGACCAATTCCTCCGGTTTGACCCCGCATAAATTTACGCGAGACTCCATTAGCTTCGCGTACAGTACAGTTGTGCATCACTTTGCAGAGTTCGTTGCATCTCAATCTTATGCCCGCACCCAATCTCTATATCATATCTCGGCAGTCTTGACGCATGCGAATAGAGGTCATCACTTCGTGGCAAGTGACTCGCTCGTGTCAAGATTACCAAGTGGAGTCATACAAAAGCAGTGAGTGCGTTTCCGGTAGCGTAAGTACTTTCGTGTAGATGTCTCGACTCCGCTTACCACGCTTTATCGCGGCGATGCGTGACAGCCGGGAATCCATGGGTTGAGCAACCTGCTAAGGCATTGTTTGCTGTCGAGGTCGAATCGGTCGAGGCACGCGGTGCTCGAGCGCTAACGGTCTTTCTCCTCGGAGACTCGCTCCCGTTCGGTCTTCGACAACTCCCCTTTCAGACCCCGACCTAGGAAAAGGCACGAACAGTATATTTCTAGTTACATATTTCCCTGATATCTCTCCGTGCACTCTGAAACTGGCTGTAGATGAGAACGGCTGCAGATGGGGCTTCCTACCACTGACCCCCCCCCCCCCCCCCCCCCCTTTACTACTTTAGCTTCAAAGAATTGGAATGACCTCAGTAGGGTGAGCAAGCACCTCACGCCCGGTGTTCGTAGGTCACTGACATACGGTCTTTCGGGTTTACCAATAAAGGATCGGCGCCCCACTGGAGCGGGGTGTCACACTCAAATGCGAAGCAGGGGATAACGAATTAGATTATAATAAGCTTCTTGTAAATGCATAGAAAACCCGTTCTTTTTCTTTGACACCGAAAGCGGGTATATTTTGACGGGATCCCCCCCTTGCCGCCAACCCTCGGGGCAGGGGCATACGGTTCGCGAAATCACCTCGTCCTTGGCAATGGCCTATCCACCCCTCAGAACATTGACCCTCCCTCTGGCTTGCTGTAGGCGTCTACAAAACAAGCTTGCAAAGAAAGGGCTGTCTGGCCTGTCCACAACGAGCAAAGCCACTTGCAAAGTCGTAGAATGCTGTTCTTTTTCTTTTCTTTATTTTTTAAGTGGTTGGTTGGGGGTGGCGTAGACCCATTGGTTTATTAGGTCGGATGCGTGAAATTTGCGCAGATTTTTCGAATTGAAATAAATCGCTTGTTTGAGTATGCATTGATGTTCTTCACACTGTGTTTTCTGAAAATGAGGCTCTTCGCGACCGTAACGAGACTCTACGCCGCTGGAATCTTTAGTGCTCCCTGGTGCACGGATCGGGCTTTCGAGACTACAGAAATTACGAATTCCACTTAATTATCTCCAGGTTTCACCATTGCGCAGTTGGCCCCAGTGCCGTAAATGGTTTCTCCAAAAACTTCCAGCAACGTAACCAAAAAAAAAGTATACAGTATTTGGCGTAGCAGAGTCTGAGGCATGCAGACGCAGCCACGGCGATGAAACTTGTTTGGAGACATGTTAGCAGGAGGAAAGAAAATGCAGATTTTGTCCCGTTTGGCTGGAAGGAACGAACATTAGCGAGCCGCGAGAAGGAAGCCTTCCAGGAAAGGAGACGTCAGCCATCTCGGAATACTTCACCTATGTGGAACGCACGGTGCGGACGGTCAAGGAACAATGAGTGACCAAAGGCCACCAAGGCGTCTCTTTGTTTAGATATGTTAGCAGATTGTCTGAAAAAGACACGAAACGTCCTTCGTGCGTCTGTTCCTTGCGTAAGTGAAGGGCATACCCCGCAGCGTTATCTGTATAGGAACTTCATTCCTATTTGTCAACAAGCGAAAGAGCCATCCAGATACGCAATCTACGAAGTGTACCTAACTTTAGGAATCTACGCAGTTGGTTACATACAGTCTGAGGATACTTAACACGCATAAAACTTGCATTGAAATTAGAAAACGGCGCAAAATGACGACGGAACATAGGAAGACAGACAGAAGTAAGGGGAATGGCCAACGTCATTATATTAGCTTTGGTTATGGCGCAAGCTAAATAGTAAACGCTAATGCTTAAAAAAAAAAGAGAGGGGAAAAGGGGCAATCCACAACGACTTCTTTGTGGTTGTCCCTTCCTTTTCCCCTGTCTCGTGTTTTTTTTTTTTTTTTTTTTTTTTTTTTTTAAGTATAGTTACAGACAGATTGGGCTCTGACTATCAGCTGATTTTTTTTTTTTTTTTTATTACGAAAACAAAGCATGAAAGTGTCTTCCTCTGGCCTGTCGTCATTTTGCTTTGAGCTGTTTTCTCGTTTCAATGCATCACCAACTCGCCCAGATTTCTACGCTCCTAGATATATCTTGCCTCAGCGCTCGGAGCCGCTGCGCTGCTGTATGCACACACATAGAGAGACATGGAACATCAATGTGAGCATGCATGAGTTAAACGTCCAGTGTACTGTCATTGCGAGCGGAAAACCATAGCTGGAAGGCGCCGCTTGGAACTGTCTCTTCTAGTTAGTGTTGGGCAAAATACTCGATAAAAGTATTTAAGTTACTAAATACCCGCTTCATAAAGTATTTAAAATACTACTCAAGTTATTTGCACTGTAAAGTATCTTGAGTACAGTACAAATACTTTGAAATGTTATTCAATTACTTTTGAAGATACTTCCGCATTTCGTAATTTCTTTCGAAGTCAGTGAAACACACAATTATACTGTTGAGAGGACCTGGTTTACCAGAATAGTTTATTAGCATACGCAGCGGCACAAAACGGGGGAAAAACATCGTAGGACTATTCTTTGCAGTCAAAATATAAGGAGCAGGATGTCACTGGTGCATGTCGCGAAACCATTTCGGGACACGCATACACACACACACACACAAAAGAGGTGGCTTCAGCTTTAGTAACATCGCTGAATATCACGTCCTACGGCACCTTATACTCCGTCTCGCTAAAACCGTGCAGTACAGCCAAAGCTACAGGAGAGAGAGCGTATGCCAACCTGTTCAAGAGGAGAGAAAGGAGGAACGGGAGAGAAAAGCTGCGATTCCCCATTCCTCCTTTCCCTTCTCTTGAACAGGTCGGGATATACTTCCTCCCCTGTAGCTCTGGCTGTACTGCACGCTTTTAGTGAGTGGCATCCCCCGTTTAGCTATACCATCCATATTCCCTATTTGGGGAGTTCACTATAAACGAATTTGGGACAAGGAAATGAGTGAAATGGATAACAAAGAGAGCCCACATAAGAGCAACGGCACTGGTCGCGCGTTCTTCAAGTAGGTTGCGTTCAGAAAGGCACTCAAGCATGAGGGACGTTTTCTTTGCATTTTGAGAGGTCATCCAGCTCGTAGCTCGTTTCCTGTCATGTTCTCTGCTTATCAGTGTTCGCTTACAGATAGTGTTCGCGAGAGCAATAAGTGCCAGACTGACGGCAAAAAGAAAGGAGAGGAGAAAAAGCCTCGGCGTTTTGCCGTAGCAAGGTCAAATATACAAAAAAAAAAATGGAAACAAAAACTTGTATTTTTTTGTGTCCACTTCTTATTTTCTTGACACTGAAGTCTGCATTGTGGTCGTGGGTCGTTTCCCGTTCTACGTTGCGCATATTTACTTCTGTAAAACCACCCCTTTTGTTTGAGGATTGTTTGGGGGAAATTCTAGGAAACAAAAGGAAAGGCGGGAGGAAAACTTTAATTCTGCGAACTTTGGCGTGAAGTATGAGTCACAATCGGCACAAAAGCGATGTTTTCACGAGCTCAGTCTAAGTCACTGTAGCTTATCGGAGCTAGCAACATGATTTGATTGCTCGAAAGAATGCTCACGTTTACTCGTGCCACGCCCACGCCACTTAATACCGAAAAACTCGGAAAATGGCGGAATGTAAAAAAAAGTATTTGAGATAATAAGTTCAAGATACTCAGAAATGTAATTAAAATGCAGTATCAAATACTCCCGATCAAAAGTATTTGCGAGATACCAAGATAGTATCTTGAGTAGAATATTTGAGATGGGCACAAGTCTGCTTCTAGTCCGCCCACCGCTATATTTCATTCCAATGGTAAAGTCACCCCTTCGGGCTGGCTTTTCTCTCCTCGCAGTTTTGAAAGTTTCAGTGTGACGATGCACGAAATTGCGTCAGATTTAAGGGTGTGTCGACTGCAAAAGGGGGTGAGAGCTTATCCGTGCCACTGCTACGCCGCGAAGGCAGTACGCCTTCGCGGCGTACTGGCTTCTGCTGTAGTCTGCATAGGCAGATTACAGCAGCCTCTGGCATAGAAGCCAGTGGCACATGGCCGCAATCAACTGCTATTGAGCCATCGAGAGTTGAGCAACTCGCAGTTTAGCGCAACAGCGAGTAGCTTGAGATCGGGGCCATTCGGCCGCTCATTGGCTACCTTGGTGGGTCGTCTGCGTTAAAGGGAGCTCGCATGTGACGTCGTTCGACATGGCGCAATCGTGACACGTGCCGCTGCTTTTCGACGAGTTCAGCGGCGTGAAATTGGTTAGACATTTGCGCTGTGTGCAGCGGCAAGACCGCATGCTTCACGAAACACCGGTCAAAGATTTTTGGCGAAAATTTTGCCTCGCACAGAAGAAAGAAAGAATTTGGTGTCTTACTGGTCACTGCCAAAAGAGTTGAAATAGGTGCATTGCGCTTAGGATAATTAAGTGATTAATTACATTTAAGCAATCCACTTTTTAATCGGTAAATAATGGTATGGTTTCTATGAAAAACTTGCTGAACATTATCTGAAAAAAAAAAAAAAAACAAAAAAACAACAA